TAAAAGCTACACGCGTGTCAGTAATATTACAATATTATGTACGAGACTGAATTGAACGAAGAACACATTTTCCTTCCAAAATCCTACATTAATGTAATAAAATTTATAGTACGTAAGCCAGTGGTTATTTGATCAAATTTGTTATTTAAATTCGCCAATAAAAATGAGCTACATTTTTAATCAGTCCGTAATGGCGAATTGAGTTTGGCGTGTACATGGCATGGTCTGAGCGAGTTGCAGAATTTCCGAGGTTCAGAAATGTTATGATATTAATACGCGCAGCTTATTATTCATTAATATAGGTAGTCATTGATATTTTAAGATTTGTTTCAAAGGCGAAAATAATTGAAAAACACACTTGCATATTGCAAAATTACTGTTTACCAGAAGTGGAGCAGTATAGCAGTATACCACTTCAAGCATAGCATTAACTGGTATACTGCTACTGCTGGTATCTACTGCTGGTATATATACTGCTACTGCTGGTATACTGCTACTGCTGGTATACTGCTACTGCTGGTATACTGCTACTGCTGGTATACTGCTACTGCTGGTATACTGCTNGCGATGTCATGTTTCTACAGGCGCGATGTCATGTATCTACAGGCGCGATGTCATGTTTCTATAGGCGCAATGTCATGTTTCTACAGGCGCGATGTCATGTTTCTACAGGCGCGATGTCATGTATCTACAGGCGCGATGTCATGTTTCTATAGGCGCAATGTCATGTTTCTACAGGCGCGATGTCATGTTTCTACAGGCGCGATGTCATGTATCTACAGGCGCGATGTCATGTTTCTATAGGCGCAATGTCATGTTTCTACAGGCGCGATGTCATGTTTCTACAGGCGCGATGTCATGTATCTACAGGCGCGATGTCATGTTTCTATAGGCGCAATGTCATGTTTCTACAGGCGCGATGTCATGTTTCTACAGGCGCGATGTCATGTATCTACAGGCGCGATGTCATGTTTCTATAGGCGCAATGTCATGTTTCTACAGGCGCGATGTCATGTTTCTACAGGCGCGATGTCATGTATCTACAGGCGCGATGTCATGTTTCTATAGGCGCAATGTCATGTTTCTACAGGCGCGATGTCATGTTTCTACAGGCGCGATGTCATGTATCTACAGGCGCGATGTCATGTTTCTATAGGCGCAATGTCATGTTTCTACAGGCGCGATGTCATGTTTCTACAGGCGCGATGTCATGTATCTACAGGCGCGATGTCATGTTTCTATAGGCGCAATGTCATGTTTCTACAGGCGCGATGTCATGTTTCTACAGGCGCGATGTCATGTATCTACAGGCGCGATGTCATGTTTCTATAGGCGCAATGTCATGTTTCTACAGGCGCGATGTCATGTTTCTACAGGCGCGATGTCATGTATCTACAGGCGCGATGTCATGTTTCTATAGGCGCAATGTCATGTTTCTACAGGCGCGATGTCATGTTTCTACAGGCGCGATGTCATGTATCTACAGGCGCGATGTCATGTTTCTATAGGCGCAATGTCATGTTTCTACAGGCGCGATGTCATGTTTCTACAGGCGCGATGTCATGTATCTACAGGCGCGATGTCATGTTTCTATAGGCGCAATGTCATGTTTCTACAGGCGCGATGTCATGTTTCTACAGGCGCGATGTCATGTATCTACAGGCGCGATGTCATGTTTCTATAGGCGCAATGTCATGTTTCTACAGGCGCGATGTCATGTTTCTACAGGCGCGATGTCATGTATCTACAGGCGCGATGTCATGTTTCTATAGGCGCAATGTCATGTTTCTACAGGCGCGATGTCATGTTTCTACAGGCGCGATGTCATGTATCTACAGGCGCGATGTCATGTTTCTATAGGCGCAATGTCATGTTCTACAGGCGGGATGTCATGTTTCTACAGGCGTGATGTCATATTTCTACAGGAGCGATGTCATGTTTCTACAGGCGGGATGTCATGTTTCTACAGGAGCGATGTCATGTTTCTACAGCCGGGATGTCATGTTTCTACAGGCGCGATGTTATGTTTCTACAGGCGCGATGTCATGATTCTACAGGTGCGATGTCATGTTTCTACAGGAGCGATGTCATGTTTCTACAGGCGGGATGTCATGTTTCTACAGGAGCGATGTCATGTTTCTGCAGCCGGGATGTCATGCTTCTACAGGCGCTATGTCATGTTTCTACAGGCGCGATGTCATGATTCTACAGGCGCGATGTCATGCTTCTACAGGCGCGATGTCATGTTTCTACAGGCGCAATGTCATGTTTCTACAGGCGCGATGTCATCTTTCTACAGGCGTGATGTCATATTTCTACAGCAGCGATGTCATGTTTCTACAGGCGGGATGTCATGTTTCTACAGGAGCGATGTCATGTTTCTACAGGCGCTATGTCGTGTTTCTACAGGCGCTATGTCATGTTTCTACAGGCGCGATGTCATGTTTCTACAGGCGCGATGTCATGTTTCTACAGGCGCGATGTCATGTATCTACAGGCGCGATGTCATGTTTCTATAGGCGCAATGTCATGTTTCTACAGGCGGGATGCCATGTTTCTACAGGCGGGATGTCATGTTTCTACAGGCAACACATATCTTGCAACACAGGGTCATATATCTTGCAACACATAACAGTTATGACAGTACCAGATCAAGAACATATATAATTTTTTCAAGTTTTTTCTTGACTACCGTATCTGTCTCAAGTAAGTAATTGCTTATATTCTTGTACAGTCTCTGCTAATTGACAGTGATGTCTAAAGTCTCTCCTAATTGACATCACACAGCCCTACTGCTCCAGCAATCTTATCAAGGCTTGCAATGTCAAAATCACATCTCAATTAAATCTACATGATAATTAATTAAACAACAATCAACACATTGTCAGATATCTTACTGTGCTAATGTATCTATATATAACCTGACATTTCATTGCATTCTCAATCAGCCATGGTGGCTTCCTCTGACAAAGTCAGTCTTTTCAATTAACTCTTGACTTGTTCCTCTGTATTCCATACCAATACTCTCATCCTCTCATTAGAAATCACCTTTGCTATAACTTTCCAACTCTCATATGCCTCACAGTCTATTATTAGGTGCTCCAGAGTTTCCATCTTAGCCCTTTTTAGCGCATTTTCTCATTTATGGAAAAAAGGCAATGTTGTGCTCATCATGTCTGTCTGTCCGTGACTTCACGGATGGAAGGATGAGAAAATGTGCTCTCTGTCACTCACTGCAGTGAGTAGTACTATGAGTTATATTCTTTTGTGAATCTACAGACAGGACCACCTTAGTCCAAAATTCAATGGTCACTGGCATAGCAGTTGCAATTCCATTGCACTAGCTTTGCTATGCTTCAAACAATAAATAAAATAATAATAAATAAATATAAAACAACTCAACACAATTAAATTCACTTTTTCAGCAAGTGCCGCAAGCAAAAAAAATCATTAATTTTACTATTTTACTTACTACCTACTCTAGTACTTTTCAATTATTTCTACTTTGTTGACACAATATATTGTTCCATTGTAAGGCAGTAACTGTCTTCTCTAAATCAAATTGAATTGGTCATATTGTTATGGTTTCAATTGGAAACTTCTGAAATTTTAGGTTATGAGACAACCTCACTGTTCACTCTAGGAATGCTGCACTAGTTATTGTTTGCAGCCGAGACCTGCCGGAGGTACGTGCCTTGTACCAAGTGAAGGACTTTAAGAGTAACTATCATAATAATAATAATAATAATAATAGCGGTTTCAGTGTTTATTAGGCCGTAGGCCTGTCTTTGATTCTTAACATTGCAGAACATACACAGCATTTTGAGGTCTCAAACTCACAACTCATGGAAACAATTCTGCTTTGCTTAATTGCCCAGCCTCCTTGCTGATTCTGATCAGAAACTGTCGCACATAGCTGGTGGAATCAAATCCACGCCTCTCTGCTCCAATCTAGGTACTCTGAACTTTAACCACCAAGCCACTCTGCCCTAACCACTGGGCCACCCATGTGTACATATTATGGTGAATAGATTTAATTAGAATACAATTTTAATATGATTTTAGTTGTAAATATTTTATAGATTAGTTTTTAGTGCATTTTTTTTTTGTTTAAATTTTCAGGAAAGTTTAGGGCTTGAACTTGGAATACTAAATGTGGAATACAAGCAGACTTTAAATTAATCTCAAGGCATGAAAAGTTTTTTAGATTTGAATTACGATCATGAGACGCATTAAAACGTTAATGCTTGGGCCTAGTTAAGGCTAGTTGGCTTTTTGAGTGAGCCCACGCCCCACACCCAAAGCAATATTATTCAATTATTTTATAAAAAAAAATAAGAAGTCAAACTGCAAAGACACTAAAAAAACTTTTTATGAATGACTTGAAGACTGTTAATGCTCTGTAACAGACATCCTTTTAGTCCTACTGGCTGCAAAATGTAAATGCTAGGTGAAGGTGTTAGGTGCTTTGCAAAATAAAGGCTATATAAAGTGCAATAAATAAAGTATACTACAAACTTTTAATTTCAAGTGAGTGACGTCTTAATTAGTCATAATATTTAGTAGTCGCATCTAGTATGAAATGATAAATTGGAAACTAAGAATAAACTTATCAAAGCTGGCTGACTTGAAGCCTCAACAAACGGCAGCCAAGCAGCTGACCAAGCGAATCAAAACAAGGCGCAACTGGCAGCGAATGGCAACTTTTTCTGTTACAGAAGCAATGAACTTAGTTCAATTGAGAACTTACATGAGAAATATTGATAGATATCTAATTATACACCGCTATAACATGCATTCAAATTTTTAAATCGCACGTACAATACATCGCTGTGCAAAAAATCCCTCATAAATAAGGGGCTGAAGACGACAGTCAGCCATCTTGAAAACGATGCCCTTGGCCTCAATAAATTTCTGATGAATGAATTATTTTTACGCAAGTACTACTTTTTTCTAAATAACTACAGACATGAAAGTAAAAATATTAAAAGTGAACTTACTGCATGTAACGCCGTGATACCATCTTGATTAACAGTATTTATGTCTGCTCCTCTTTGAAGCAGCTGTACGAGTTCATCTGTATCGCCAGCAGCCGCGGCTGCTAAAAATATACACTCGTCACTGAACTTCACTGCTTTCTTTCTAGGACTATCACTATATTCTTGTCTGTTTGTTTCACTTTCTTTCCACCTTCTAATTTGTTCTGCCCTACGAAACAGGGACGATGCCCCGTGATTATCTCCTGCCATCAGGAGCACCGTTTCACACACCCACTCAGAACACTGCTTTAGCTAGACTGAGCTGACTGACTATCGCAGTCAAAATAGTCACACTCTCCAGGCGTTTAAGGAGAGCACACAGCAGAGTTTATCGTATCTCATCGACTATGTAAATCGTGTCGTAAGCGTGATCAATAATATTTTTGCATACACTTTTGTCCGAAAAATCTGGGAGGTATATTTAGTAATAATGGTTCTCTCGGTTCACTTCATTTAACCAGCAGACAGTAGGAGATGAGATCGATCCCTACGTTCTGGCACTCTCACGCTTATCGCAATAGGCGAAGAAAAAAATCCAACAACGTTTGCGGGCGCGAATTACGGACAATTAGCTTCGTATTTATTTAGGACAAGATCAGGTTCGGTTTGAAAACTCGTGCGTGGTATGTGAAAACTTTTGATATTTTAATTTTGGACTGGGACCTCATTGGACTGGGACCCCACTGCGCGGGGACCTAATCGAAGTGCACATGTATACTCATGGTTACATGTTCATGGTCAATGCAAATTTAAAAATCTGTCTGAGAAATGCCGGTCGTTTCTCCGCATATCCGTATAACTCGCGAACGAAGGCAAAATCGGAAAAAAATTTTCACGAGCTAATCAGTACCGTTGGGAGGTAAGGTATTCATATGCAAAGTTACATTCAAATCTGTTGAGAGTTTAGACGAAATTTCTTGTTCACTGCGAATTTAAGCACATATTGCTGTTTAAATCACGAATGAGAGTGAAATGAAAGATAACTCGCGAACAAAGACAAAATCTAAAAAAAATGCGAGCTAAACATTAAATCGTAAAACAGGACTCGCCGAACACAATATCGTCAAAGGTCAAAGGAATATAAATTAATAAAAAAAACACTAAAACACATCAGCCTAGCGACTCACTATTTTTGATGGTGAATCAAACCCTGTTTATGATTGAATTAATGTCAGGTTTTTTTAGGTTTTTATGTCTGACTTCCAATTTGACTTATTAAATGATTGTATTCATTTTTCGATTGTCGAACTGATGATGGAGCTGGACTCCGAAACTTTTCAATATCGACATGGTGAATTTGCTTGGCGTTTTCATCGCTTTTTCGTTGTTGGGATTTCTCGATGAAAGTAGGTAGATGAAATGCAACACTGCATTGTTTTTATTGTATGGATGTTCAACGGTGACGTGAATGTCAGAACTTGAGAGTTAACCAATCGCCGAAAGGCTATCAAACCAGTCAACCAATCCGTCATGGGAATGACGGGTTTGTTTACGTTTCTCGATCTCAGTGACGTAACAAGGAAGCTGAAATGAGACGGAACTCCTCGTGGGTCAACCTTATATAGTTCAACCATGCTTGACTCGTTTAACTAAAATAAATCAGTGTGAGAGGCATGTATAAAATTTATATTTCCATTTTCTTCAGTGCGTCATGGTGCATTTTGATAAGTTTATTGCCAAAGGGAGAGATAGAATTGATTTTAGAAGTGCATTAATATAGAAATTTGTTAAACTACATCATTGCTTTGTCTACAATTTTGGAACAAAGTAAAAAACTTGACGAATGTAGGATAACCGAGTGACAAAAATAAACGTAGCTACATAACTTGTGGTAGCGGTTATAAGAGAGTAAGGCATATAGCAAGATATAAGTTGCTAAACTTGCTACATATACGTCGGCAGGGTGGCTCCTTGGTTGAACGATATATGACGTCACACATTACTTATACAAGTTGTGGCGGCTGTTACACATTTCAACGATAACATTTTTACTAAAAAATGATTTCGGTCACGTGGCCAGGTTAAGAGGGGAGCGGAGTTGTCGACGGATCAGGTTCGTTGGAATCTGCCATTAGTATAAACGAAAAGGTTTGATTGTGAAAAATCGTAAATATATCAGGAAACGAGCAACCTTATGGAGACGTCGGTGTACTGCACCTTAAACTGTGTCACGGCGATAGTTTTGGAACCCGCAATTTACGCATTAGGTTGAAAATCTGAAGCATTTGATTAATAGTACGTCAAAAAACTTAAAATACGAATATTATTTTTCCTACGGTTAGTAAAGAAAACCTACAGAGATAATCAGTCTTCGAGTCAGTGAAACACGATCAGGGACACGCACATGTATTGCAGTAGGAGGTTGGCACAAGAAGAGGCCGATTTACGCGCCGCGACCTTAAAGACAACTACGTGTCGCGGTCACGTCAACGCGTAGCAAAGCGTTAGGCTTAAACCTCGGTACACAGAGAGAGACGGAGAGAGGGAGATCGAGAGAGAGTAAGAGTGAACTATGCTGTAATTTCTTCCGAATTCTTCATCAACTTGAGTTCTTCGGATGTATTGTTCCTCATCTTTGCAGTTGTCGTACACACAATAGGAGAGTTTTTTTGCTGTTCGATCGTATGAATGCCACACGATTGCATCGATGTCACTAGATTGCATCAATGTCATTAAAAGTTTGGAAAAGACCTTTCAATTTGCAAACAATTTGACCTATTTTAATCTTTGAAAAAATCAGATGAAATTTAAAATTCTGGGTGAACGATTTAGGAGCATGCTGAATTTTACTACCAAAGTCCAAAAACTCGAATTTAAATTCAAATTTTAAGTCATTCCGATGTAAATATATCAATCTCAAACACTAACCTCATATCCACTGTTATTGTAGTTTGACATTTTTCCTTCTAAGGTGAGCTCGCGACGAGCGCAAAGTGTCGCGTACGTTTTCCTGGCCCCTGCCACTGCCAGCCTGCCAGGCAGCCAGTGTTGAACCAAGAGCTTGTGGAAGAAAAGTTGTTGGTGAATTGATAAACGCTCAGCATGGTTGATTTATCACAGCTTGTGCGTAAATTGTACACCCTGACAATAATCAAACATGGCGAAAAGTTACTTCTTGGATTCAAAAAGAGAGGGTTTGGTCAAAACAAAATAAATGGGTTTGGCGGGAAAGTCGAGTCTGGCGAGAGCATAGCAAACGCCGCAGTGAGGTGAGATCAAATCTCGAACTTGTACAACGAATAGTTATTTTTATCTCGTAGCTACTAGCCTAATGCAAAATAATGCAAATAAAATAATTAGATTATCTTCTGGTTTATCTTATTTATGCCAGTAGTATACCCAAAAATGTGGAATATGATATTGTTTTCAAAATTGCATTAGTTACGGTAATGGGGTTTCGAAAAGCATGTGGACTGTCATGGGAGTATTAAATTTAGTCGAGTTTCAGATGAAACTTAGAACCTAAACGCTACAGTCTACACAGTACTAGTTTACTCAGTTGCATACGTTTGAAGTAACAGCTTGTTGCAATTTAAATTTTATTTTTACGGACTATTTTCTATATTTCAGCTAACATACCATACCGAGTGATACCGTCATACCGAGAGGCACCTACTTATCCCTCTCCATTCTACCTTAGTATACCCCTAGTGATCATTGTCTAATAATTTTAAAAAAGAAAATAATTTTGCTGGTTAACTGATTATATCATTTTTTCTCCTGAGTAAATTATGGAAGTTCCTTCTTTGAGCTTAATAGGTTTCTTTAATGCACTATCTTCGATAAGTATTATATTAAGTGCAATTCATTAAACACGAAAAGGACTCTGTCTTGCATGGTTACGAGCGACTCGGAGTTTCCGTCTCAGGCCTCGGCGCTAAGTAGTAACCGACAACCGAACCGAGTAGCCTAGTAACAGTAACCGCTAGGTATTGTTTTTTAATTAAAGTGATTCCGATTTCCGATATATGTTATCATAAATTTGTGCTTCACTACTTTCGCTACTTAGGTGAAACTTATTTTCATTCAATGTCCACGCACTAATAATATTGAAAATTCAGAGAAGTTGACGAGGAAAGCGGCTTGGATGTCTCCAGAACTATCCGGAAAGTCGGTCTTCTGGAGTTCAGTTTCGAGGGAGAGAACACTCTCATGGAAGTTCATGTATTCCTGGCTGATGGTTTTGCCGGTCAACCGCGAGAGTCTGAAGGTATGGATGCTTGAAATTCTCGGGAATCAGTAGAATTAGTTAAGGATAAGTGTAAATATTATACCAACACAATCCTTGTATAATCCTCACTGTAATTAATTATAATTATTTCATTCACGTATCTGTTTTACTGAAATAATAACTATCAAGAACCATAAATAATCATGAAATCGCCAAATGTTATTAAATTATAGACGATAGATTGTTTTTTTATTACAATTTTGTGTAAAAATATTTATGAAGAGCGTTACTGATTGTGGAAGTATTTCATTGACCTATTCTGCGGGTCACTTCTTTTTATTTTGTAACGATCCCATTGATATAACAATATAATATCAACGAACACAACAAACATTTCTGCTGCTCAGAGATGCGCCCCGAATGGCACCCCATCTCCAGCCTGCCCTACGACCGCATGTGGGCAGACGACCGTCTCTGGTACCCCTTACTCCTGGCGGGGGCCTGCTTCAGAGGGCACTTCCACTTCAAGGGTCATGACACTGTCCTCGAGCACACCTTGAGGGAAGTTCCGGTGCAGGAAATATCTGCGCCGGAGCCTCTCTGTTTACCAACTGACAATCTAACGCAACAATCGTGATCACGAATTTCGAGCGTCATGTGGTCATGAGGATTGGTATGTTTATTTGCGTTAATTTAGCTCCCTTTTTTTCATCTAACGGAAGACAAGAAAAGGGAAACAAACGGAGAACAATTAACGGAGGACAAAATTATTTACTTTTAGAAGTCAAGTTTTTTATTTTTTAATTATTTTCCCCGTTAAATTGAATTAGTGTGACCGAATTTACACGAACCGAAATCTTAAAAAGGGAAACCGACTTTCTCCTGTAATAAGTATGTTTTTGTCTACGTCTGTTTTAGAAGGTTTAGTTGGTTCTTTAAATGAAAAAATGTATTCATTCATTGATAATTTTTCTTTTATTTATGTCTTGAATTGGTAATGTTCTATATTGTATAGGGAAATGAACGGGGCCAACACTTTTCTGACCAGAGACTCTCTGGAATTTCTCAAGCTCACGCCATTATCTTGCAGCTACAGTGTTCCGTCTGCGTGGTGACGCGGCAGGCCGCTGTGCTAGATACTAACCAGTGTAGGCTCGGGGCCATACTTTCAAAATTCGCTAAGTGAACGTAAGTACTTATGCTCTATTTTCTTGTCTATGATTGGTGGATTTTGCTTGACAGGCCGTCAATGATTTGCTGATGAACTTACGACTATTAACTTTTTTGAAAGTATAGGCCCATGCAGTAGCCTCATAGGAAACATGCTGTGTTAACTGTCTACTAGTTATTTGTTTATTATTAATATGTTACCATCTCTCGACGTGTGGCGCGTGTAATGTTGCGTGGGTTCCGTAATGTGATACTAATATGTATAATGGAAACTATCAAGTATAACATCTGGGGGCACTGAATAATATAATAATGTGATACTAACACTATCGCATCATTATTATTTTTCTATCTCTCGAATGGCGTGTGGTGTGTGTAATGTTGCGTGGGTTCCGTAATGTGATACTAATATGTATAATGGAAACTATCAAGTATAACATCTGGGGGCACTGAATAATATAATAATGTGATACTAACACTATCGCATCATTATTATTTTTCTATCTCTCGAATGGCGTGTGGTGTGTGTAATCTTGGGTGGGTTCCGTAATCTTATTATTCTTGTCACGTCAGCTGCAAATGCCTTTAATCTGTGTGAGGTACGATTGTCATTTGGGAGATCGTGGATGTAGAAGCTGTACCGAGTGCAAGGGGAGAGAGGCCCCTTGGGGTACACCTGTGTTTAATTGTAATGGAGGTCCTAAGTAATTACTTATTCTTTTCAATGCTGACCGATACTTGTCTGTTTGTTGATGCTCTTGATGAATCGAAATTTCTCGTGGCCGTTCATGTTCAAAACCTGTCGGCCAACCTGAGGTATTAATTCATATGATATACTTCTGCATTGAATTTAATATAACATTACACTGTTACAAAATGTATTTCTAACGTTTTGTTTGATTTTTAATCCCTACTGTTCATTCCTTAGTATTCAATCTTATTCCTAACCTTCTTTCAATAGACGGTTAATTAGTTAGATATTAAAATAGAAGTGTCGGCACTAAAGAAATTGGCCCATGGCCTGTTGCCGATTCTTGTACTTTTCGTGTCTTGATTCACAAGTGATCCGGACTTTGGTACCCGATCTTTCCATAACTGACGATTGATTGAGATAGCTGCTGGACTTATTGCCTGTTTTTTTTTTTCATTGACGGAACTCGAATTGCTTCATTTGTACATTTGAACAACTCAAATACTAATAATACAAGATTCTACGGTCAGGCAGGCTGGTATATAGAACCATGTTGTGACGGACTCGAAATAAGGCATAACCCTGAGAGGATAAAGATGAGTCTCTTGGTACACAAGTCGGATAAATTCTCGATTGCTGCACGTGACGGAAATAATATCAGTAATGATGCATTTTCAGCGTATTTTCTGAGTTGTGGAAAAAGGCGCTATTGTGCTCGTTACGTCCGTCTGGCCGTCCGTGACTTCACGTTTTCGTCGACGAGAAAATGCGTTCTCTGTCACTCACTGCAGTGAGTAGGTACTGAGTTATATATTTTTTATTACTTATGCATTTAAGATTACAAGAAAATTATTGTTCATAAAACTCCGTGTGCCAGTGACATTGCAAGTGACCGACAGAACATTGTTTTCTTCGTACTTGAAACTTCTCTCGACTTATTTGTTACTCGTCATAAGAATTTTTGTGCAGCACCTTACCACGATGTTCATAAAATAATTAGTTCTTATATTTCACGTTTACTTGATCGATATGTACTTTTTCCATGAAATGAGTAGGCATATGAAGTCCAATTTACTGGTGCTTTTCCTAATTTCTGGTAACGTTTTGCTCCCCCATTTTCGTAAGGAGCAACATTGTATGAAAATTTTCCTTTTAATTTCGTTCTCTTGACTTGCATGGAGTTGAGTCCAGAATTTGAAAACATTATATCAGAACTTTATTTATTCTCTGGTCAAGCGTCAACTTAAGAACTTATTTTGTATTAGGGCGCTATTAAAAGAAATCTCCATGTCCATGGACTGACACGAAGCAGGTTGAGAAATATAGAGCTAGACCAATGGTGGCGCTGTTATAAGGTCATTGGAAATTATTCTGGGGTATCACCGAAATAATTGGTAAATAAAAAAACATTGAAATATGTATATCAAATAACATAAATAAGATGAATACGATTTACATTCTATTAGCTATGTCTGAGTTCTGTGAATACCTACAAAACAATATTACCGCACACAAGTTCCACCATCGAAAAGAACATCTGAACACGCGAAAAATCGAAGGTCATGAATTTCCGACCAAAAATCCCCTATAGTGATAATGCGAATCATTCATTATAGGTTCATCATAACCAGTAAAACCGTTATATAATGTTTTTATTAGTTTTAAATTCAATAATAATAATGGTTTTTCATGGTTTTAAAATCAGTAAAACCGCTATATAATGTTTTTTATTGATTTTAAAACCATCATAGTCTCGTGGCAGGCTCCTTGGTAGTCTTGGGACAGGTTTCTGACTGTATCGTTGGTCAATGAAGGGCAGTTGTCGGCGACCAGTACGTGTAAAGGGTCGTGAGGAGGGTTGAGGAGACCATTGAAGCGGCAATTTAGACCTGGAATCTATTATCATGACGTTTGTGATAGTATTGTTACCATTGAATAGGTCAAACCTGGCCAGTCATTGATTCTAGATCTCACACAAAATCTGAACAGCTTGCCGGTTTATCGATTCCCTTGCTTACTTCACCAATCATGCTGTTGTCAACCACCAGGCCACTATGTAGATTTTAACTAGATCTGTCACAGGAAGCTGGGATCGAACCTGCTACTCGCGGCTCCAACTTTAGCATTCGTAACTGTAACTACTGAGTCACCACGCATGGTGGCGAGGTTTAATTGCTGTTCGAACCTTTACTCTTTGTTCGATTGTTGATTCCGGCGATGTTGATATTGTGGTCCTGTGATGTTTATTGGGGGCTATTGGATGTCCCAGTGGTTACAGTTCAGAGTACCAGGATTGGAGCAGAGAGGCACGGGTTCGATTCCAGCTCTGTGTGCTAGTTTCTGGTCAGAATTGGCAAGGAAGCCGGGCGGTTAAGCACAGCAGAATTGTAGCAGTGAGTTGCGAGTTCGAGACTGCAAAATGCTGTAAATGTTCTGCGATGTTGAGAATCGGCAACAGGCCTACGTCCTACTAAACTCTGAAACCGCTATTATTTAATATTATTATTATTATTATAAATATTCAAATTTATGAAGGCTTCATAATCCCTGATCAACGAGTTTACTCAACTGTTCGTTATTTTTTTAAGTAAAGCGAAATAAAAACATTGCAAAAGCGTTGAATCCCACAATCAGCTATCCAGAAGCTTTATATGTACCTCAGCTGGGTAATAAAAATTATTTGTAGCAGGAAACATTTATTTCTATTGCTAAATAATGTCATCGCAAACCTAAGCTCAAAATTTGTTAACGAATTTCTTACATTTCGTTACTGAGAGCAACACAAAAGCAAGAAGCACAACGATACATAGCGGGACTCAGGGACAAAGCTTTGCTACTAATCCGGTCCAAGGTCTCTGAATATTTTACTACGCTACTATTAAAGTGTTTCTTTCGTTCTCTCCTTGTTAAATTTAATAAGTTAATATTAACGTGTTTCTTGGTTACAGTAATTCTTAAACCAGATACCTTACCACTAATGTGTTTCTCGGTTACAATTATTCTTCCGCTAAATACATAACAATCGAGTTTCTTGATTACAATGAGAAATGAGATAGGCTTTGTCCAAAACACGATGCATCTATTGAGCTTCTGTGAGTCATCCTGACTCAGTTCGGCCCGACAAAGAACGTACCAGTGGCGTTTCAGTTGGAAAGTTTAACCCATTCATTCTTAAAAGTGTAAAATTATTCCGAAATCAGAAAAGGTACAATGGTTACCGTTTTAGCGAGGGTATACATGCATCTAACGTTATCGATAAAAGGTTCATTGGAGGTTCACACAGAATATATTAACTTCGAAAGCACTTGATCGTCCTACCCCAGCAGCGACGGCATTCACGTGGGTTTAGATGATTCGGAGCTCAGGACGCGCCACCTCGCATGATTCATCAACACTCGTCATGAAGCATTAACAATCATCAACACTCGTAATGTATAAATCACGATAAGATATTATCGACACTCTGTATATTATCTGCCTTGATGTTGTTGCTAAACATCGGTTCGCCCAATGACTTCCGGAACGATCGTATCATCTATGAGCGGAAAATTAAACAGGGTAATGTAACTCGTACAGCTGGTACGGTAGTCAGTTAGCGTAAAGGTAACACTTAGTTAGTTTGTTTTGTTTCGGAAGTTTTAGTTTTCCGGTCAGTTTGGTTGACGGCCCTCCGTGGTTATTATTTGTGATTGTGTTCTGTGCTCTCTAAGCCTTGGTTCAGCAGCCTCGTATATGTACCCTCTTGGATCAGCAGCCTTCTAGCCGTGAGAGTGTGTCACTGGGAACTAGTGATTCTACATTTATGCATCTGTTTCTACCATTAAATTGTACATACGACTACAACCTCATCATCGTATACTTGTGTTTCCGTTACCTGCTCTGCCTCCATCCCCAAGTTTCCTTCGCGCCCGAACACGACTTGCTTGTCCCAGGGGGCTAAGAGCCTATGAACGACTTAGCAACCGCCACGAACTCGACTACCATCTTTATCGTCACGTCACCTTCCCTCATCGAAGGAGGGTGAAACAGCAAACTCACGTCCCTCAACACTGATACTGACAGACAGCAGACAAAAAACTAACGTCCCCCAACACTGATACTGAAAGACATGACTCAACCAAAATTGACTGCCATAATATTGGAGCTCATATCGCCATCTTCATCTGCCATGACGGGTTTGGCACCACACTCTACAAATCTCTAGAAGCCAACTACGACATTAAAGCAACGTTCCCTCAATAGAGACTCGGCAAAAAATGTCAAGTTTTTTTATAATCAATCAGAGACCCAGGCCCTTGACACTGACTTCATGCCAGGAACCAAATTCATCGACGATGACGACCTCAGACGTTCACCACTCTACCTTTCTTAATAACCAATAGACGACAACCTTAAAACAACCCTCCACCTCCGATGGCCCGATAAAAATGACCCTCCACCTGCGATAGCCCGATAAAAATGACCCTCCATCTCTGATAGCCCGATAAAAAGGACCCTCCACCTTCGATAGCCCGATAAAAATGACCCTCCACCTGTGATTGCCCGATAAAAAATGACCCTCCACCTCCGATAAGGCCCTCCCTCCTCTGTTTAAGTATGACACTGTGAAAAGGATGAATATTTACGAACAGTACAAAGAAAGAGTCAATCATCTCTGGATCTGGTCCAAAGAACCGAAACTCTTCCGATACCCATACCACCAACCACACAACCCACACCATCATCCAATATAATCATCAACCCACACCATCATCCAATACAATATGAATGGCTCGCTTCGCGTCGGCAGGTGTCAGCTATCTGGACCAGGCGTATGGGTCCAACTCCGCTGACGGCCTGACACGACTCACTAGAGTGGCACGCAGTAAAGATGACACCGAAGACCTACCGACAACCCAACAATACTCAACAAACCTCACTATCTGAGTCTCGAGCAACTCATCACCCTCAACATCATCATCACCAGCATCACTCTCATCGTCATCATATCTTTTAAAAAATAGAAATAATAATGAAACACAAAAAGGAAAAAAAGAAACGCATGGAAATAGAGAGTACGTATCATTATTTAATCTTAGTAGTACTCAAAGTTGGATATACTGTATATAAAAAACTACCACCCCCGACATGTAATTAATCATTGCCCTGACGGGTTCCACCCCCCCCCCCTCCCAACCCCAATTAGACCCCCACACCCACTACCAACCCAATTATGTTCTATTTGCCTTGTTCATCTCCAAATACTCTTCCCATTTCTATTTTCTCTTGCTGGCTACTCTGTGTCCTGTTTTGTTCTCTTCGACTCTTTTTCTGCTGGTGCCGCACCATTTTGTTGAGGGACTGTGTTGGGGACTGTGTTGAGGAAGTGCGTTGAGGGACTGTGTTGACGGACTGTGTTGAGGGACTGTGTTGAGGAAGTGTGTTGAGGGACTGTGTTGAGGAAGTGTGTTGAGGGACTGTGTTGAGGAACTGTGTTGAGGAACTGTGTTGAGGGACTGTGTTTAGGGACTGTTGAGGGACTGCGTTGTCAGAGACTTGTACTCGATGACCTCTTCTTACTCGGAACGCTGTTCCTCTGCTAGCATCACAGAGGTGATGCGCTCGATAGTTCGCCAGGCAAACTCCATGTCTTCAGACTCCGTGAAGCGGGAGCAAACCGCCACCCTGGACAACAAAGGAAAATATAACTCAGTATTAGCTGCAGTGAGTGACAGAGAGCGCATTTTCTCAATATCGACGAAAACGTGAAGTCACAGACAGACAGACAGACGGACGGATAGACGGACATGACGAGCACAATATAGCGCCTTTTTTTCCATAAATTAGAAAATGCGCTAAGACTAAGTAGTAATTTTCTCGTTCGTTGGAAACTTGTGTGACGAAAACAGTTCTGGTCGCTATAAAGCTACGAGAAATTTCGTTAGGTATAAAATATAAATATTTAAATGTAATTTTAATTAAAATAAACAATATTTGAAGAAGTATTTGAAATAATGAAGTAATTCAGTACTGGATAATGCCTGACCTGAGAAAATATACGCCTCGTGCCTCTGAAGCGACCAGATGGATGTCGCCGTCTTTGTTAAGGCGCTGCAGCAGACGCTTGTTGAACGCGTTTTCGTCACGCACCACCTTGGGGGAAATGACTTTATGAACACTTATGTGCCGCAAATTTTAACAGCCTTGAATTTTAGTTGCGTTATGTGATTTCTGAAGGTGTAACCGACGTTAAATCATGATAGGTGCAAAAAAATCGAGTAAATTAGGCAAGAGAAATATTGTACGCCCATGCAAAATTCGTTTCTCGTTCTCATTAGAAATGATGTAGACAGGCTGTATTAAGCGGTGCCACTGTAACTGTACACCAAGAATATTGGTAAAATCGACATGTGACGACCCAGTACACAAAATTCAGCAGTTATTTGGCTATTGCTTCGTTGAGGTCAGAATCCTATTTTTTGAGGAAAAACTTCATAAAAACGGGATCACTCAAGATTCTTACTGCTGAAAAGTATAAAATATATTTATTCCATTTCGGTATTAGTCTTGGTGTTGAAATTTCTAACACTTCATTAATTTCATACAACATCAACAATAGTTCACACAATTGCTCACCTCTATTTTCGATAAGGTACTCGGTCAAACCCAAGTAACTAATAAGTTAGTTAAACATTAGTGAGTAATACCAGATTTCCGTTATAATTTTGTAAAATGTTTACAATCTTAATGAGCGAGATGAAGTAGGTGTACATCTGACCTTAACCCTGAAGCAGACGAGCCCTAGCACCGTGGTCTGACCTTAACCCTGAAGCAGACGGGCCCCAGCACCGTGGTCTGAACTTAACCCTGAAGCAGACGAGCCCTAGCACCGTGGTCTGACCTTAACCCTAAAGCAGACGAGCCCTAGCACCGTGGTCTGACCTTAACCCTGAAGCAGACGAGCCCCAGCACCGTGGTCTGACCTTAACCCTGAAGCAGACGAGCCCTAGCACCGNGTGGGAAATTTTTCCCACCATTAATAATTTTTGTATCATTTGTAAATTTGTTGTCTATATGTCGTTTTCTGTTCATGTTGCGTTCGCAGTTTTGTTGTATTCAGTTTAGTTACGTAGTTTAAGTAGGTAGCAGTATCCGCTAGGTTAGGGACTCCTTCATAAGCATTCATACCATTCAGACGTTCAATCTGGCTACGTGCCTTAACTCCAACTCAGCTAATTCTCAGTTATTCATTTCTGCACCTACCATCACTTCAGCCAGCACAGCAACAGGACCTTCAGATTCTAATTATCTTCCTGATTACTGTTTCACTATCATTTTGTTGGTGTGAATGTTGCTTTTTTTCATATTAATTATTTACGCTCTATGTACAATTTTTTTCTATGGTACTCTGGACAAATCAATATTCAATTCAATCCTTAATACCTCAAATTTCAAATTAGCTACGTGGTTTCTGATATTGGTAGAGGGACTAGTTTCCTTTGCTGTGACCCACGATTTAATAACTTTATCTTCAATTTTCCAAAGTCAAAATCTCAAACTGTCCTTTTCTATTTTTCCGTCTGGAGTACCTTCCTTTAACTGATTTCATCTATATTTCTGATTTGCATCTTACTAAACGCATTAAGCACTGAGATGCACCAAAATCTTAGGTTGGTCAATTTAGTTATTTGATGATTATTGATTCATAATTTGGAATAATTTGCTGCATAACTAGTTTGTGATAAATTAATTGTTTAGTTAGTAGTTAAATTTTCATTTCAGTATCTGGGACTCGTCGGGGCAACACCTTTGGGGAACTTGAGATTCTACATTCAATATACCTTCAATGAACCGCCCGTTCTTCAAAGATTTCTATACAACAGCATATGAATTATTGAATTCGGCTTCCTCATTCAACTGGCCCGATCAACGCCAGTTGCACGTTATATCAATCTGAATAAATATCAGCTGACTTTATTCTCTTTATTTTGTCCGATTGTGTGAGGCAATCTTTATTACTCACAAACTCTCATGATGTTGGAACAGATCACTTGTTAATGATGTTAATCACAGATCTCTTGATTGCGGCATTGATTGTTATATTAGGACTCTTTGCCTCTGCGATTTAAGCACGACCATTGCAGTATGGTCCAGCATGGTCATTACATTACATTACATTACATTAATCTGTGTACTCATCTTAAGCTGGCCTTTGCTCACCCTGTAGTCAGGTGCTTCTGGATTAGCTTGATGCTGGCGGCGCAGGTAAATCGGGTCCACGCGAAATGCATCAACGACCTCTTCTGATTTACGGATCCTAGTATAAAAAATTAATGAAAAATTATTGAATAAATTCAACATGTATAATGAGTACGTCGTGGGGGTCTACAGGTACTGAGACATGATTCAATTCATTGTTTCGAGAGCAACCATTCCACTGTTATATTCATGTCCAAAATTAATTTCTAATATTCAAGTTGAAGAAATACTGCAAATTTTAATATTAGAGTTTTAATATCTATTTACTCAGGCAAACAGTGAAATTTTTTATGCATTGGTTCATTAACAACGTTGGAACAATAATGTAATTGAAAGAATAAAGAATGAAATTGCTCATAAAAATAGTGTATGATGTACAGACATTCTAGCACAACTCAGCGCACCACATGGTCGAGCAATCGAAGTTGACGAGCAGCCACTTGTGGGGGTTGAAGTTGAACGAGTCCACCATGTGGACGCCCTTCATGGGGCCGCGGAATTCTTCGCACACGAAAGCGGCACCTAACGAACACGAATTTTCGAAGAAAACGTGGCAATGGAATTGAATACAAATGTTAACTTTTGTATATATTCTATTATGACCGAATTTAGGCAAAATAATGCTAAAAACATGAATAAAATTTGCCTCTTTATTCAAGTTCTATTCCTAGACATTCAATGTCTTTCAATTAACTTTGAAGTACGTATAAACTTTTCTGATGAGTATATTCATTAGGAAATAATTGCTTCTTAGTTCTTTCTACGTTATATTGGCACTTGGATGTACCAGACGATAAAAAAGACCTGCGTAAGCAGCGTCGACATGGATCCAGACGTCAGAGTAACCGCGGCACACTTCGCCGATCTCCTGCAGGTTGTCGAAGGCGCATGAGGCGGTGGTTCCCAGCGTCACGATCACCTGAGGATAAGTATTTGTTTATTGCAAGTTAGTGAAGGATAGTGAGTTTGGAAGAGCGTAAGATTATTGTGATATAACGTATATAGTGATATAATCACTGATATAATGATATAATCACTGATATAATGATATAATCACTGATATAATGATATAATCACGGCGGCATATAGCGAGTCGGTGCCAGTCTATAGGCCATTTCTTCAGCAGCAGTTGTTAAACGTCTCTTTGGAGGATTTGGAGGAGTTTCAATATTGGGTGCTTATGGTTATTTTCAAAGACTTGGTTTCGCAGTGCAGTTCTGGTCCTGGTGCAATTTTAGTCTGAGTTTAATACACTGATAGAAAAATTACCGTTAACGGTATTACCGAAGTTTCAGTGGCCGGTCGGCACGTGAAAAGAAACACCGTATCGGCTTTATTTATTCAAATTTAACACTAGAAATCCGTAAAACATCTGATAAAAACGGCGAAATCGTTTATTTTCACGAGGCAAGCGGCCACTAGAACGCCAGTGGACCCGTTTTTTCACCGTTTTTCTAACAGTGTAATTAGGTTCTAAACGTTTGAACGTCAACTGACGCAGAATGGGATGAGGCCGCGCTCGGCGTCGTGCTTCATGGCGCTGGCGAGGGCGGCCCCTCGGAGAGCGAAGGTGTCATCGGTGGGCAGCAGCCGCAGCTGCACGCTGGACAGTAGTAGACCTGCTCTCTCCACGCTCGAGTGCGACATTTCTGGTCATTCAAAAAACATATTTATCTATAAAGACAAATAGTATTTTTCTACTAGAAAAATACTCACCGAGTAAGGTAACTTACTACGTCCCAGAAAATAGTTATTTGTATCATCTAGGTCCTCAAGTGCATAAAACGTATTAACCAACTCAAACAGCTTAAAGTAGCTTATATTTGTCAAACTATCCGTAAATTTAAGTAATAAGTTACAGATACAACATTGTGAATTTAATGCAGTGACCATATTCACGGGAGTCTGAAGAGATTTATTTGATATAAGATGCTGATTTAGCAACGTCATGAGAGCGAGTTTCCAGCTCATCCTGGGTAGAATATTTAAAGCTGCATCAGTTAAGACCTTAGAAGGAAGAGTCTGTTGAGCTAAGAGCGTTATCAGACATTCTATAAACCGTATCTCGTTTTAATTCAAGTTTAAATTGCCTCCCGAAAACTAACCTCATACAGTCTTCACCTTTGATATTATAAATGCAGTTCTCAATTTAGTTATCACCCTAGTCGACAGTGGATTCTAATTCATCTGATTGACCAATGCAATAAGTTGACAGTTTTTCTATTTTGGTATTAAAGAAGAAAATGACACCAAAACAAGATTTGTACGACATCTTCGGTCACATCAATGACGTCGGTACATACATACACTTTTTCTTGTGTTTTCCTACTAAATGCCTAAGACCCGTGATGACAAATGTACTGGTCGTATTTTACCGAAAATAAATATTAGCTTGGCTAATCTTTAACTCGTATGTGAATGCTCGTCTAATTTTTTTCAATAAAATATTTTTGGAGTTGGTTTTTCAAACACACTCGCATTATGTCAGACTAAAGTATCTTAGTGAATTAGAGCGAAATGTTCCACGTTTCGAAATAAATAATGTTAGTTTGTGTACTCCGAAGTGTTAATGTTTGTTTCACGTTTTCTTGAAGAGTGATTCATACAATAATGCAGTTGAAGGCTAACGTTTTACCAGCTTTATATAGAGATATTCTTCTTGCAGCGTTGCATTGAAGTTGAAGGTTTTCTCCTTGAATTGTTTAGCAAGATATTCTTTGCGCTGCTTCGTCTTGTAGTTGAAGGTTTTCTCCTTGAATTGTATATAGCAAGATATTATTTGCGTTTACTGTTTTCACTGTATCGTGAGATATTCTTCTCAGGGTTTTACTCATACCGTGTGTGTTTATAGGGCTGCGAAAATCTAAGCAGTATTGAATTGCGCAGATGGTAAGTATAGTGCACTGTCTAAATTTGATTGTTGCATAAGTAAATTATTTAGTTTGTTATGTCGATATGTTGTTTATATTTTATAAAGGTTCGTTTCTATTAGCATTGCTTGCCATTAAATGGTATTTCATTAGCCATATATGTCGCAGGTTAAAGATGAGTAGGTCGTTTTCGTATTGATTCACCCAAATCCTAGCTACGTATATGGCTCCACGAACTGTGTTTATAACGTTTGAACAATATGAATTGTTGACTTCATGGATTATAATTTTGTTTTGCTTAGAATCTACTTTGGCCGTTTCAAGTCGGCTATAATGCGACAAGAAGGCTGCCACATCATGACTGTCACTATCAAAGCCTCCTTCCCTCGCCACCGGCGTTAGGGCAGTGCATGAGATCGCGGGTGTCGCTGGGAGCTGAGAGGTCCTATGCCTTCATCGGGACAAGCTAGAGTGTTTGCTACTACTGACTGAATGCAATAAATTTGTACATCATGAGGATTTTCACTGAATAAACGAAGAAGACTGGCATGTTCTGCTTCAGAGTCATGTAAAAATGAGCAGGTAATTTTTTTAAAATAAGAAAATTTAATTAGCGACCAGTTTGACAATTTTTTACCACGTTTTTCTTAGCTCGCTTTCGTGTCTGTGATGATCAAATCTTGCAATCGATATTTCACCAACTTTTACATTAGCTAGCGCTCTGAAACTTTTAGGGAAGCTCAGCTCCCGATAACAATACAATAATCAATAATTTGTTGCACGAATTCATCATATCAAGTAATCACCAAACAATTAAATACATATGCGCCCCACGTTTTTCGTTTTAGATGTTGTAAAATATTTTAACTGAAATACAGAAGACCAAGAGAATGAAAGCAAACAGAGAT